CAATTACTTAACGATAAGTAATGAGTTAACACGTTTTAAAGTTTGGATCTTAAATTATCGCATTTTAAAGTTTGAAGAGCAAAATGACACTAAATCCAAACACAAAGTATTAATCGAGAATTTTCCTTTAATATAATTTACCTTTAATCTATAAAAATAATCAAATAACGTTTTTTTTTCGAAGGGAAGAGATCTTTTGAGTTTGACCTTTTTGTCAATCATTTCCATGTGGCCAATTTATCATCCTAAGTCAAATGACCTTAATTAGTACGCTTTTGTATTGCTTATAAAATGAGAAATCCAATATGCTAGAAAAATCATATTTGACGAGGCCAAAATCCAAGTCCAACGTGGATTACCACATAGCCCAATTGAAGATTTAACATGTGGTGGAATGGAAGACTAACAACAAATGGATGACCCAAGGAAGAACGCCCATATGAGCCATGGAACCTTGACATGCGGAATCTTGAACCGGTGTTCGTGATCAGCAAATCATCGTTGAGGAAACACCATGTGAGTTGCCCGTCGTTAGGAGTGTAGGACATGCGGTGAACATCAGCCAACCCTAGACCAACCATCTAAGTCGGTGCAATGATTCAAAGCCTCCTTATCCTGAGTTCGCATTAGCCCCTCACGAGGGGGCGCCCCACAACGTTCCACAGCACATCCTGGCCTTGTCCATGGTAGAACGTGCGGACCATGTCAAGGAATGGCCTGATTAGAGATTATGTGGCACGATGACATGTGTTCCACAAATAGCGGGATGCACAATGACTCTGTGGATGCATATCAACTATCTACCCACTCTTGCAATCTATACTTTCGATATATATGCATATCCAAAAAAATTAAGATAAGTATAGACACATAGGAACATCATAAAAATTTTAATATAATATAAAAATACATCAATAATACTAAATTAGTATATTTTAATAGAATTTATGCAGAACTGCATCGTACTCAATAAGACAACATATATAAACATACAATGTTTATTAAAATTATAATCACATTAATACATATTAAAATTCAAAAAATCATATTTGAATAATAAGTGTCAAATGATCTATGGATATATTAGATCGGTCATATATTAATAATATATTCACTCCTTAAGACTATATCATAACAAAATATAATTAAATAATATTTATTATTAATTCTAAAAATTCAAAAAATCATATTTCAATAATAAATGTCGAATGATCTATGGATATAATAAATCAGCCATATATTAAGAATATATTCAGTCCTTAGAGCTATATCATAACAAAATGTAATTAATTATTATTTATTATTAATTCTGAAAATTACAAAAAAATTCAAAAAAAATCATATTTGAATAATAAATGTCAAATGATCTATGGATATGATAGATCATCCATATATTAAGAATAGATACAGTTTTTATGGATAAATCATAATAAATAATAAATAATTAATATTTATTTTTAATTCTAAAAATTACAAAAAAATCATATATTTAAAGAATAAATGCCAAAATTCCAAATGATCTATGGGTATGATAGATCAGCCATAGATTTACAATATACTCTGTCATTATGGACAAATCATAATAAAAAAAATAATTATTTAATAATTTTTTTATTCCAAAAAAATAATAAAAACATTACATAGAAAAGTTCAAATCTTACATGGATATGGAAGATCATCCATAGGTTTCTAACACATTAAGTCCTTACATTCAAATAAAAAAACAAAAATTTTTTAAATTTTTTTCTTTATTTTTTATTTTTCCAGATTTATTCATAAAAATCCATAGATCTACACATATAATCAAAAAAATGTGATTTTTGATAAGGTAAATGTAGATCATCTCAGTTTAGAACACTTTCAAGCATTCAAACAAGAAAGCAACAACAAATCAAAGAGATTAAATGAAACAAATTGAAAAATTCACCTATTTTCACAATATTTTCCAAAACTTCAAAAAATCTTTCCAAGTCTTCACGTTTGATACGTTTTTGTTGTTTTATTTTATTATTTTTTTTTTTGTAGATCTAGCAATCTGGGCAAGTATATCAAAGATTTGGAGTGGTTTGAGAGGGAGAGAAGGCTTTTTTCGAGAGAAAGAAGCCTTTTTTCACTTGTTTGAGCTTTTTAACATCCATCGTGTCATTTTGGGATCGCATTGGTCAATACACCCCCGTATCGATAGCATATCGACCGATATGGCACCAAAATGGTCGATATGCTACCATTCAATATCGATATGGTATTGATACGAGGGAAAAGATATGCGAGACCTAATTTCCTTACGTTCCCCATATCAGCCATTCAAAGATACATTACGATACACCCCATATCAGGCATATCGTATCAAAGTTTTAAACCTTGATTCCACCCTGAATTGGGAACATCTCCCCATGAATAATAAACATAAGTCAGGTGATATACCCGATGTGCGGCCAGAACATGCTGTAAGGTTGGTGTGAGCACGAGTTGTGAGGAGCAAATCCAGACTCACCTAAGGCCTCTAGCATCTTCAACTTATCTTGCACTCAAAAGCACATCACGTACTTTAGATTGGCCTAGTTGACCCCTCTTTTCCTTTTACTGACTTCAGCGTCGAAATCTCTCTTCGGTATCCACATCTCGAGGCCTCTAACCTCTAACTATTTGTGCTTACAAGTCACTGAATCCAACTCACTAGCTCAAGACTCCTTAGCTTGTCCAACTTAACCTAGGATCAATGTTCAAAATATCGACATGTATTGGCCGGTATTGGTCGATGCATATCATATCGAGAGCTTCTCGATATGCCCCTACAAAGGGTATATCGGGGTTTTGACCGCTTTACGGGGTGGACGGACCTTAAACCAGCCCCCTTGAATTGGATTTGAAAAAAAAAAAACTTAAAAAAAAAATAATCGATACTGAATTGAAACCAATCAGTAAACTAGTTGACTTGTTTATTTTGGTTTTTTGAATTTATAATATATATTACCAGTAAATATATAATTATGCAATATAAATACTAGAAATATATGTAATATATTATATTATAAATACATATTTATATATAATGAATATATATTTATATAATATATATATATATAAATACATATATCTAGGGGTGGATTCGAGTCGAACCGAGCCAAATAGCTAGCTATTCGAACTTAGCTATCTAAGAAAATATGAGGCTTGAGCTCAATTTGAGCTAAAGACTTGAGCTTGAGTTCAACTTGAGTCAAAAGCTCATAAGCTCAAGCTCAGCTCAGCTCAAGCTCGATTGTGAATCAAATGCTTTATAAAAGTAAAAAAACATATATTTTTTTATTTAATATATTAAAAAATTCATAATTATAATAATTAGTTATTATATATATAAATATATATATATATGTATGTATGTATGTATGTATGTATACATATTTGTAGAAACTCAATTAGGCTTGCAAGCCTCCCAAGCCAAGCTTTATTAGGCTCAAGCTCGACTTGATTAACAAATGAGCCTGTAAATTGGGCTTGAACTACCTCAAAGCTCGGTTTAAACCGAGCCGAGCTCGAATAGCTTGTGAAAAGCTTGACTCATTGCCACCCTTACACATACCGATCCATTTGGTTAATCATTGATTTTTCATATTAGTTAGATAAAACCAAACCGATGCCTTTAATTTTTCCAAAACACTGAATTGAAACTGAACTAATCGGTTTGTTATACTGCAATTTTTTGTTCAGTTTCATTGATTAGGTTCAATTTTTCAAATTTTCAGCTTTTGATGAAAACCCTAGGTGGAAGGATAAAACCAACATAGTTGCTGCCCAAAACATTCCCCACACTACTCTGAGCACCAATCGCAATAGCACAGCCAAAATGCTTAGCTCTCCAAGGTGCAAGTATTGACCAAGGATCAATTAGGACAACAACCACCTCTCTCAACAGTCTCCCATGCTGAATCTTAATTAAGGATAGGTGCAATCAGTCCCCAAAACTTAACAAGTGGGAAGAATACGTGGATACTCTAATATAAGAGATGAGAGAACTTCTCAATGTTATTGAGGAAGAACAAAAGAGGAGCAGAGATGTTTCTACCGATGCCCAAGTTTTCAAAGAATTTATGTTCACCATGGAGATCATGGATGAGCTAGCCATTTCCAGAGAACTTGCTAGTAAATATCGAGCCAAGTTGGAAGCACCCTATCCTTCATATCGACAAACTCCAAAAGATAAAACTAAGGCTTCTAGCCTTATCTACCAAGCTGCTCGTTACTGCATCATTAGAGGGGAACCTTCTAGAAGGCCCCACTCCCTACATTACCTCAAGCGTCTCAACCAAGATAAGGCAAACTACATATTCAAAGAAATCCATCAAGGCACTTGTGGTGACCCCTTGGAGTTGGCCCCTCAAATACAAGGCCTTGCAATAAGAGTACTTTTAGCTGACTATATGAAGCAAGATATGGCTTAACTAGTCTAAGGGTGTGATTGGTGTTAAAAATATTAGAACATAGATCACTAGCGAGTCGTTCTCTTGATGCTAATTAGTAGTCCATGGCCTTTACACTACAAGGAAAAAGGTCAAAACCGGCTTAGGTCTAAGGCCGCAGTCATGCGTCCGCCCACTAAGAAGCTGCCGGCTTAGACCAGGACCACCGGCTTAGGTTAAAATGACCACCACCTTTGATGGTTGGTCGCAGGTGGTTCAAGTTGCTCTAAGGCGGCGGGAGCCGCCAAGTTAGCGTTAATAAGGCGGTGGTTTGGACCGCTGGCTTAGACTATATATGGCAAAGCCAGCGGTCATTTTTTTTATATTTTTATATCAAGTTTATTCCGATTTTTTTTTTTTTGCACTAGCACTTTTACTAATTCTTCACTTTAATACCTACTTAGCGAAAATCTCATGACAATTGATATATAAAGTAACTTAAATAAAAATGTAATTTGAAAAAAAAATGTATTAAATTAAAAAAAATAAGTATTTATTATTATTTCCAAAAGAATTGTTCAAATACAATATCCAATTGACATAAAAAATACAAGGACTTCAAAAAAAAATCAATTTGTCAAATAATATAGCACATCTTCCAATTCAAATCCACTTTAACATAATGATCAAACCTGAAAATCATAACATGTAAATTGTTAGAAAATGTAAAATAAATAAGATATTAATAGAAAAATGTATAAAAATAGATATTTACCAGAGCAAAATATTAAAATGGGCCCATTCATGCATTTCCCTCATAGTACAACTCTATATTAACATGCCAAAATTTTCCCAAGCAATTCTTCCAAATCTAGTGATCACAGTGCAAGCATTGAATATGGCAAGGAAAAAACAACAAGAATGTTGTCCAGATGCAAACCCTGCATTTATAAATATCCCATTAAAACTGAGTACAAGAAAATTTCTTATTCGAAAGAAAATGGATTCATTATGCAGTATGATTGAAGAGACTAGAAAAATACAACAGCATAGACCAAAAGACACCATATGATGAGGTTTGCAAGATGTCAAACGTGACAGATCAAAATCTATTAATGTTACATGCCCATTGCTCTGGAGTAGGATATTTTTGGGTTTCAAATCCCCGTAAATTATACCTGTAGAGAAAACAAAATAATTTCACCATCTGATTATCTTCAAGGAGCATGTCAATAAGGTGGGCACTAAGTGAGGAGAAAGAGATGTAAAACTTAATTATGCTTCATTTTTTTCTAGCTTCACTCTCTTAGTTTAACAAAGTGTATATTTCAGTAAATCAATACATGGTCATGGATGGTCCTTGCAATGGTTGGTGAACTATGCACAAGTATTTGCACAAGTATTTGACTGAAACCTCAGGGAAGATATAAAGTATTTGCCTTATCTATGTCAAAACAAGTAATGTACCCTGTCTATATTAGCATTCACATGACAAGCTTCTACGCATTCTCCTCTTCCATGTTCCATAGTAACAAACTTTCCAACCAACCAAGCATGAAATGCATACAACTACAAACAGGTCTGTTTTGAAGCATTACCAGATTAAGACTAAAAGTGTGCACTTGAGAGTTTAGACTACCTGAAGTTATGCCTCATACTTATTGGATAAGCCCATCAAAGCTTCCTAAAGCAAGTAACTGCCCACTAATGCTGAAGGCGAAATTTATAGCCACGCATCTCAAACATCTTTCATACTTGGATGGGGGTTGTACCATGGAGATGGCAATCATATTTTAGTTGTGTGGCTACAATCATGTTGTCATTTTAGTAACAAACTTACAGCATCACAAACCAAATTCTATTTTTATATTTGCCAAGATATAAGGAAATAAATAAAGAGTTTCGAGAATTCCATCTACCCTCTATTTTGGGTTCTCTACCAAGTCTACCCATTAATTTTTTTTGGTATTCTAGCAATTACAATTCTGCAAAAAAAAAAATCCTATAGAACTTTTGGATGATGTCCCAACCTTGGATCCAACCAGGCAACAATCTCTCTCTCTCTCCCCCCACTTTTCCTTGGTAATTGAGTCACCCATGCTAAAGTTCATTAATGGAAATACTGTACTTCCACTAGAAGTGTAAAGTTCAGCAATAGATTTAAGAGAAACAGGGTTGCTCTGTTTCTCTATGGTATTGTACTTGAACTTCAATTTGAACATCTTACCCATTGTTTCAAAATAGAACCATAAAAAAACATGTTGAACTTCAATCTGAACTATTGTAGTAGAACATAAAAAATTTTCTTTCTATAAATCAAAGATTAATCTAAGACCATGTAACATTGATAAAAAAAAAAAAAACCTGGACTGCTCCATTTATAAATATTGTTAGAACTAATCAATAGAAATTTAAACATATGATTGTTAAAACTGTCTATATACTGGAGTAAGATTCATGTTTTCCATTATTTTCACCTATTCACCGTCCATTTCATCTCAAATCAGGCTAAATTGTAACAAAGATGAATGACCGTTTTTCTTGTAGTGTAATCAAATAGGAGTTGTATCCGGGTTCCTTCAGAGTATGTATGTAAACTTATTACCTAATACCATGTCACAGTTGATGTGATGAATATGAACATTGGAACACCCAGTTTGTATAAATACACAATCATCTCCTGTAAAAATAGAACCAGTGCATAGTTAGGAATAAAAATTAATTAAATCTCTAGAAAAAGAAAGGAAATGAGAGATGGACTAACTAGTCAACCTGAATTGAGAGAGAGAGAGAAGAGCTATACAAATAATGGACAAATGTCCTGAGCTTACTAGGAATACAATCCAGTCCACAGCATAGTAGACAGCTGATTCAGGCTCCATTTCCAATTGATCAACCGACTCTTGTATTGAACTTAATAGGCAATAGCATCTTGCCAGGCTCGTAGCCACTATGGTACTCTTGCGTCACAACATAATGACCAGCACAGGTATCATTTCCTCTCCAAACTAAAGTGTTATAGCTAACTAGCTAAGCTATCAGCAACCACGGTATGATGTCAAAAGAGCCAAAAACCTACGCATTTTCTCTTTCTCACTGCTAAATTACCTGCAGCCGAATAGAACTGTCAATGGACCGGATATTGGTTCAACCCAACCTGGTCTAATATGAGTCCGTTACAGATGGACCAGCCCAATCCAATCCGATAAAATACTTTGGACTATAATCTGGAGTGGTCCAATTCAACATTTCTTATTGGAATGTCCAACCTGTTCAAATTGATAATAATTCTGATTGGATCCAACCCAAAGCTAGTCCATTGGCACCTCTACTCTGATCTACTATCAATCGACTAGAAATTGGATAAACCCAACCCAATCCAATATAAATCATTATAGATGGACCAGGTGCAATCCAATAAATACTTTGGATCATTAAATTTGGACTGGTCAAATTCAATGTATATTGGACTTTCCAACCCATTCAAATTGATTTTGATTTGAAAGGGTCCAACCCAAACCCAGTCCATTGACACCCTTGCTTCAAAGATAAATAAATAAGTATACCTTTTACTGTATCTCTAATAATAAAAATAAGACAATAAGACACCATCCTAGATCTTAGTTGTCATTGGTGCATTATGCATCAACATACAGAAAACGTGATTTTAGGTACCGCAGAAAACAAATTAATTTCACAATGGAAAGTGATAAATGAATTTCACCTCATCCATCTAGTACTAAAGTCCCATCCAGATTCAGCTGTTGACGCAACCTGGCGGTAAAACTGCTCTTTCTCTGATACATTCAAGAGCTTGGAAGCAGATTACTTGTCCTGAAAGAATGCAGTCAATACTAATTCATCAATTACATCGCTTTTAGTCATTTCTAAGTTCAATAAGCTGTAAAGAACCTACAATAGTTGAACTTTCTGGTATGAGCTTGTTCCACATTGCATTGTACCGATTTAAAGTGTGAGTGCGTGCTTGAGCATCTTGAATGGTCACCTCGTGTATGCCTGCAATTAGAAGAAACTCAGACTTAAAGGGGGACCCAAATTGAATGTAATCATGTTTCCTGTTATTAGTCAGCTCTAGAAGCACCACCTTAGAAATTGGAGCACCTGGTATCTGAATAGAACATCCATCTAAGTTTAACTTGATTGCATCTTGGGGAGGGGGACCCCACCACATTGATTGATTCCAAGTACAGGAACTTGCTAATACTTTGCCAATTCCATTTATTGTAAGACCTCCTATAGACCCATTGGATTTGAGGATTCAACCATGATAGAGAGCCTGTTAATACTTTAGACACTCAACTTGAGATCAGTAAGTGGTTATTGATTAGGGCATCAATGTGATTATTAATTGGATTGCAAAGGAAACTGCATGTTGGCACATGGCTCCTATATCATCTCATCATAGAGGCCAGGGGGTCGTTTGATAACAAACACAATGGCTGAATTGAATTATTGTTGTTCTGTGTTTTAGTGGATAAATAGTCATAAGATATAGAAATGAACTCAACATGCTATCCAGCTCTTCCTTTTTTTTGATAAATGGTGATTTTATGAAAAGAGGGAATCAAAGAAGCCATTCATTTCAGCCATGTCAGTTGTTATCAAATGGCCCCTAGGTCTTTGACATCCAGATTGAAAATCATATTTAGATGGATCCCAAGATCATCTTGTTTATTGGGAAATAGCTTGCTTAGGGGAGAGGTTGGGAGTTACTTTTACAGGGTACCTCTCTCCCTTAAAATGGTTTCCACATGATTTTTCTGCTACAACTACATGAATGTATTTCTTCAATGTGGAAGGAATACATGTAACAAGGGATTGGAGGTGGCTGAGGCCAGCTTAAACTTCTTAGGGTGTTTGACATACTTGTAATATTCTAAACCAATACCAATTTGACTATTTTCATCTATTTTGTCATTGCTTTTGTCCAATACTGTGTGTCAATGCTGTGAAACTCATATTGGACACAAAATAATTTTGGTCACTTGGTCAAGGTTCAGTAGTCTGTTCATCAAGTCCTACCATTTGACTCAAATAAAAATGCAAAAAAGAAATGAAAAATTTTTCAAATTGCTTCAAAGTATATTCAAATCAATAAAAATTATACATTATAATAGATGCTGACACATGTATTTGAGGTACATTTTACCAAGTCCTTCTTCCATTCTTGTCATCATAGTAATCAATCATTAGTTAGTTTTTTTCTCTTGAAAAGTAAGGTGATTTTATTAATTTAGTAATAAACGTACAATAGGATGCCCCCAAGGAACATCACTCAGAAAAGGAACAGCTAGATCGAAACAACATTACAATTGCCAGAAGTTCCTAGAGTTCAGCCTAGCCCCTAGCTGAGAGACCTGAATTCCCTTTACAACCAAGACCACAGAGATCTTTCCATAGGAAATGGCAATCAGCTCTTTTGGATCTTTGAAAATAATGTGAAAGAGCCATTTTTGCCCAAACAGTAAATCACAGCAGCCAGAATGCACACCCACAGGCCGCTAGCACTCTTTGACAGGCCTTGTAACTCCCAGCACCCTAACAACTCCTTCATTTAGCTAGTTTGGTAATTAATTTAAAAATAAATACATTTTCCACAAGTATCTAATTAGAATTTCTCTGGAATTTGTTTGGCCACATATTATTTTCTTCAACTTTCTGTTGTTCAGTTATTCTAAAACGTATAGTTTTAAACTTTTTGTTTTTGGACAATAACATGTTCTGGTACTAGTGTAGTGATGTACAATATGAAATTATCTAGATAAACAATATGAAATTCAATGGTGTACATAATGAGAGACTTGAATTCCATAAGTGCAGTCAAATTCATTTATAGGGAAATATAACACATACTTTTAAAGCAAAGACACGTATGTCATCATGCATATAAAGAGAACAAATCATCTGATAATAAGTTCAAACCTTCATATATTCCCATTAGTACATAATGTCTTCATTTCTAAATCAATTATAGGGATTCATGAACAAAGTTATGGCCGTAAAGAGGCAGAATTATAAATGAAATCCTTATAGTTTGAAAAGGAAACCTTTGCAAATTCTATGGCACAATAAAAAAGAGTCGTCGATAAGAAAAGAAGAAAAAATGGTTTTTACCTTGGAAACGCACAAGGAAGCAAGAATGACGAGGAGATCGTCGATGAGATCTTTGAATGATGTCTTCTCCAGTTAAGGGGGTTTGAGGGGGGCAGGGGGGTGTATTGACATCGACAAAGAGGGAAAAAGAGAAGAAGAAAAAGCATGAACTGGGCTTCTAATAAGAAAAACTAACAGAACTCCTAAGAAATCACGGGCTGTCCTTGTTAAAAAATCTACAACTTGTGAGAGAACTCAAAGGATGTTCTAATTTGAATATAATGGAGATGGAAAAGAATTGATGACTGGAGTCGAGTCTGGAGGGATGAGCCAACAAAAGTCAGGTTCCATCCTTCCAAATGGCCAAAAGGGACAAGATTAAGAGGGAGAAGGAGTTGGGCTTTCGGGTTGATTTTGAAAATCAATGGCTTGAAATTCCTGTTGACGAGAGGTGGGTATAGAAAGATGGGACTGTAGAAGTAGATTATTTGTGGGGCCGATATCGTCCCAAACAGGGCTACCTGGACCCCAGCTACCTAGTATGGCATTGAACCAGGCCTCTTGCATGTCTCTCCATACCAACTCTAAAGATGCAGAAATCCCTTCCCCGGTTATGGAAGCTGATGTTACAGCCTGAACATCCATTACTCCACTCGATTCCAATCCCATTCCGACAGGAGAATTGCCCTAAAAATTAGGCTTCTCTGGATCATCAATGCTTGGATAGTTGGGAGGCATGGGTGCAGTCTCCACATGTTGAGCTTCCGAATGAGGCTGAGGCGGCGATGGTTGTTGCTGGGTTGGTGAGGATCTGCAATGGGAGTTGGGGGTGATGAACATGGAGCAATGCCAGCACCATCCCTGCGAAGAAAGAACTTGGGGAAGTTGAGGCGAGCATGATCCCCTCTCTATTTAGATTCCCGCTCTTGGGACTCAAATGCTAGGCGCGAAGGAGAAGAACAACGCGGAATTCCCCTATTTGCAGTTTTTCTTTAGTCCATGGACCGGTTCAAATCCAGTTCAAAGTTCTAAACGGCGGTCTTTTATGACACCGCCAATTCAGCATTATTTGTGGTGGCGGTTATACCGCCGCCTTAGGAGGTTTTGCTCAAATGGAGTATTCACCCTTTCCGACCATCAGTCAAGTAGAAAAGGTTTCTACTTCTGGCCAATAATTACTTCACGAAGTGAGTGGGTTTGAAGCCAAGCCCTTAACTCAAATTGCTTCAAAGAATGCCTAAGGTTTCTTTTTTGGAGGTCAATCATTTGTTGATATAGTATTCTTCATATGCTTATTATTTGCCATTTGAGCATAGTCACACTTATTTTTTGCAACAAATTTTTAAAAATACCTAACTTTTTATTAGATACAACTACATCCTAAAACATTGTTCTGATCAACCACTAAAAAGTCAAATGCATGGGTTGATTTTGATTAGTTCAAAGTTCATATGTACCATTTTATCGGATCCCAGCATGCAAATAAAATAGGCAGCTAAATCAACTTAAATTCCACTTAGAAATGGGGAAATTATAAAAACTTGTTTGGGTTTTCTTATAATCCTTTGAAACTCCCCTAGTTTTGACCTTAATGAAAATCTTTCCTATTGTTTCAAAAAAAAAAAAGTGCAAATACCTTCCTTTCATTAGCATTCCAAATAAAAAATATTTACATAATGCACTAGTGTTTTTTAAAATACCAAATTTACTTTTAACCAACTTCATTTATTTCACATGTAAATTTACTAAAATACTTTGAAAAAAAAAAAACAGATTTGCTTCCTTTTACTTCACTTCAGCCTTTTTCCCTTACTTTGTACAAGAAGAGTATGGAGAGTTGCTCTTTGAAAGTTGTTTGGAAAAATAAATTAGTGGATGGTAATGTTGAAATTTTAAATTGTGTATAATAATGCCTTGACAATGATAAAAGTATTTTGGTAGCTTCAATGTCTTTGTTACTAAAAAGCCAAGGGGAATGAGGTATTTGCATTTTTTTCTAAAAACTATAGGGAAAGGGTAAAGTTGAAATTTTGTAGATTTAATGTCTTTGTTACTAAAAAGCCAACGGAAATGAGGTATTTGCACTTTTTTTTTCAAAACCATAGGGGAGGCCTTTGTTTGGGTCAAAACACAATGGTAATTTATAGAGTTGTTATAAAATAAAGTTATTTTTATAAATTTATCTAAAAATAATAATAAACCAATAAAAATTAATAAAAAAATAGCATTAAGATACAAAAAATTAATACAAATTTATCTAAAGCATAGGAAATTAGCCACTCACTAAAGCACAATTTAGCTTGTGATTGGGTAAACTAGACATAACTCCAAAAATATTACTTGAATTGGACTTAAATGGGCATCAATTAATTGGAAACGTCATATAACTCTGTCCTTAATTTTGCTTATAAATATAGCCCATGCATTGCATGGGTCCTAACTAGTAGCTCTTATTTTGGTATGAATATGGAACACCCAAATTTCCTACTACATTAGGGAAGAGGAAGGGGAGAAGGAGGAAAAAGAAGAAGAATAAAAAGAAGAAAGGAGATAGAGAGAGAGAGAGAGGAACTCCACTTCCTGTCGAGAGAAAGAAGATGAATCAATGCTTCTCCTAACATCATGATAAATCGATAGATCATTGATAGTTTTCTCTCTGGATCTGCAAAAAAATTCCACAAATGGAGGTCTAACATAGTCACATTATTAAACCATTGTGGAGGTTAGAGTTACATGATTGGCACCAAATATTAATTTCTATTTTACTATTTTTACTTTTTTACATTAATAAAAAGTCAACCAAATATTAAAATCTCAAATGTAAATTAAAATATCAATTCATAATTTATAAAAATATATAATTTCAATTTATAATACATCAAATCTGTTAAAAATTCTAGATACATATCATATGCAAATTTTTAATTACTAAAATAATTATTCGATTATTAATATTTTTGTGTCTATAATTTTTTTAAAATTAAAAACCATTTTTTGATACAAATATTAATTTGTAGATTTGATAGGTTCTATTTAATATTATATTCTCAAATATTTTCTAATTTTTTTATTTTTGTAAACAATTAATATATTATTATTTAATGTAATAGAATATCGGTCTCTATTGCTGAATTTTGGCTCATACAAAGCGACGCAGATTGATACGCATTCATATCAACTATCGGACGTATCAATATTTCAATCATTGCCATTAAACTCAGCATAATTGACTCTAATTAACACTTCATTTACTACTATTGATTCCACGACTAACCTTATTTAACACACCATGGTATCTTAGTAAATTAGCATTGACAAGTAACCATATTATATCTATGCATATTAAAGTATAAAAAGCTAGCTCTAATTTCTCTTGCCTCTAATTTCAATTATCCATTTAAGAGACTTTTTTGGATGACTATTTCATCAGAGAATGCAATTTTCTACTATGACATCACTATTATTTATTAAACTTTGTTTACTTTAAAATTGGTAACCTTTTATATGATTATTAATGAGATTTATAGATCACATAGTTATAAATTATTAAAATACACATTTCATATGCATAAAGTTGTTAGAGTTATAGATTACATATATTTGAATTTCTATGGTGTGTCTATGTGCGTCTTAATTTTTTCACCATATCCATGTATATCCGAACCCTATCCAGAAGTCTATAAATTACCTCTTCAATATTCTTCGCATTTTTCAATACTTTGAACATTTAGCCAAATTTTACATCACATAAGTAAAATGTTATGCCCCCTTTTAAGTAGAAATGATGTAGTAGGTTAGTGCTAAAGATGGATTTATACTCAGGTATAGGGAGTGGGCATTCACAATAAATATAATTGGGTTTGGATAATATTAAGGTTAGATACCTTTCAATTCTTATGAAATTTTCATCCCTAAGAATAACACATTCCCCAAAACCCTACAGGATTTGATCCCAAATATCTAGAGGTCTTATTGTCTTTCTTCAAAACTTCTACCTTAACAACAACACTAAAGTTGAACTAGCATTACCAAATGGAATGGTTCTACTAAGATCATCGAAATGTGGCCTTGTTATGAATGCTATGCTTGAAGATGCCTTTTGTTTTTTTTATTTTTTGATACCTGAAAATGCCTTTGCAAACAAAGGAAAATTATATTTAAAATGATAGTTATAACCAGCTACTTGGAGTAACAATTACTATTTTAGTGCTTTACTTCAACCATCTACAATATTTTTTGTTTAAGTAAAATTCAAAACATTTTGTTGAATAGACCCAAATTCCACCAAAAACTTTATAGTACCATCTTCTATGCCCTAAACAATGTTACAATTAAATGGGTATTCATCAAAATTCACAGGTGCTTTAATCGGTCAAAGCTCTTCTAGTAACATGTCTTCCTGGTATCACAGATTTACCTAAAAATAAAAGTTCCTCCAACCAAACTACCAAAGTCATGAAGAGATAATAGGCAAAGAAAAACCCTTTGATTTTTTCCTATGTTTCTAAGGTTGTGTTTGGTTGCAATATTGATTTATTTGCATTGATGCAAATGATTTTAATGCAAATTATGATTTATTTTATTTTAAAATTTACTTTCTTTTGTTTGATTGCAATACAAATAAATAACATAAAACCTGAAGCAAAATAAAGTAAAACCCAAAACAAAATTAAACCAGAATTTACCTTTTTTTCATTTACATTCCCATGCATTTGTACTAATTCAAATAAAATTGCAATACAACCAAACACATCCTAAAGATTTTCACATTACAAAATACAAATGCAGCAACAAACTGCACAATATCATATTCAAAAATAAATAAATAAATAAAATAAAGACAATAATTTGTAGAATACACACACATATCATCAAAGCCAAGAAAAGATACAACAGGAACATGGCAAAGACATGGACAAGAAACAATAACGATTGTGTCCTTTAACAAGTCTTTTTTGAAGAAAATCTGACAATCAAAAGACGTAGTGAGCTTTTTTACAT